TGTTCCGCAGATTAAAGACGAAGGAACTTCTAAATAGGGTAAATGGATATTTGCTTTTTTTAGAGCTTAAATGTATAACACCTTTTTGTTTTTTTATGTTATTTTTATTGTTTGCTTTAAAATGTAGTTTATTGAAATTATGTATGTTTTGTTTGCCTGTATTGTAGAACTGGGTGCTTCTTTGACTTTTTAAGTGAAAACATATCAATATGTACATGGACAAAGTGAAGGGAGTGCGCAATGCACGTTTATGCAATTCTTGGATTTTTTTTTTAAGTGAAAATAGGTCGACGTGTACATGGATAAAGTCAAAGGAGTGCGCAATGCCCTTTTTTGCATCAGGATATTTTTTAAGTGAAAAAGCGCGTGTACTGGATAAATCAAAGGAGTGCACAATGCCCTTTTTTTGCAATTCAGGGATATTTTTTAAAGTGAAAATAGGTCGATGTGTACATGGATACCGAGTTTGCGCAATTCTTTGTCTTGTTATTTTGGCTTTGTGTAGCGGCGAATTTCGGCGCAAAAATCGTCATTATGCAAGCCGAAATAATAAGTCAAAGAATTGCACAAACTTGGTATCCATGTACCGCCAAAAATTGCCAAGTTTCGCAAAGGGGTACCCTAAAATATACTTTTACCCAGGTACAGCTAGGAGTGGGTGCGACACCAGAAATTCACCATTGGTCACACGTGTATGGCAATAACAGTGTACTTCCGTCCCAATTTTGAGGAAGAACACCTAGGACGGGCGGTCCGATGATCTGCCACCTCTCTTCCCTACGACCGCTCTCAAGATGACTTTCGGCTCCCTGTAAATTTTGCACAGACACTACACATTTGCACATTATTAATGAATTAAGACTCAATATAGCAGTGGATATGCTTTCTTAACTTCACATTAAAATTATAAATAATTATGCAATTACAATATGCACTCCCTTTTTGGGGGGTGGGGAAAAAAGAATCAGTATTGCATTTTTGTGCACAAGCACATTTATCCCGGAAAACACAACTTTAATATTCACTTACATTTCATACTTTTTAATTAAACTGTGGAGAGTATCATAGTTGTATTTCATAAATATATGATTGCTTTTTAGGTTCACAACGAAATAATACATTTAAGGATGGATATATTGACAGATCATACTTATTCTGAAACATAAAACACAAAATTTCACTTCTTCTTTAAACTAATTGTACACCGGGGTTAAAAAAAAACACCGACAGAATGCCCCCAAAAAAATATTACCCACACCGGTCAATAAGCTAATAAGATTAGATGTCCCTCGAGTATATGAATTTCGAACAATTCGCAGTAATATAGCAAAAATCGGTAACTCATTCGTAAACGAAATCAATTGTGCAAAAACAATGAACTGCGCTTACCTGTTTACTTGCGTAAGAGGAAAGCGGGGAAATGAAATTTCCTGGAATAATCCACTGAACACCATCTTACGTGCTTATACTTTTATAATATTCTTGTGCACAGTTTCGGAAGCTTGCGCAGCAACTGCATTTTTAAACCAATAAATGTTATTCCGGAAATCGTAGTCGGGTATTATCATCAAATGATGCGTTACGCTGATCCGGCACGATAAAGGTTGTAAACAACTTTATGAATAGTTGGCTAAAGTGTATTACGGGAAAAAATCATGCAAAGGAATTATAAAGTTATGTATGAATTCACCAAATAAATGCTAAGAAGTGAAACTAAACCAGGGTCATCGTCCATTCATTACAGAACCTGTTTGTTTTTCTGTAAAACACAGCATTCATACTCATACGATACGTTCAAGTCCGCTTATGTTGAACTGCGGGGTACGCCAATTTCTCTTAGCAAAGAAATATCAACGTGGCGCCATCTTCTGTCCATGATTTCAATCAAAAGTTTACAAATAAATAAATAAATAAATAAGGAAGACATTTTTTTAAATTTCAAAATTCTTACAAAACATCACTTGGGTATGCTTTCAGCACAATTGCCTACTTTCATGCGATTTTAGTTATTGATTTTTTTAATTAAACAAAACATTTTCTTCTTGAAAGAATACTAATCAAGGATAACAGAACATATGGAAGTGCTTCTGTACATTCTTTAGATTTGTTATATTTTTAATAAAATTGATAATAAATCTGCCCTATAGTCATTTTTGTACAACATTTAACTACTTTTAACGTACACTCCAAGCTTCTGGTGCTATAATGCATTTACAACACCGAAGATGAAAAGACAAATGCAGTGACTGTATTTATTCAGATGAATTTCGTTTTTGGCTGCAACATTATGATACTTCCACTGATGCTTAGTGGGACTGTAAGAACAGAGTGAATAAATCCTGCATGAGAAATTAAATTCTAGTTTTGTATTTGGTTTTTTTTATAGTATAGGGTGCTACTGGATCCCATTCCCAGTCACATTCTCGATATACTGATTACCTTGTTATAGCTCTGAGATATATCTTTATCTTCAAAATTATCTGAATTTAATTGCCAACAAAACTCTGCATGATCACATTGTGTGCACACTTCACATTTTGAAAATAGCCACCAAGTCCCCCTTCTTTCTCAACCTATTCATTCTGATGATCTAAAACTTACAGAAAAGACTGACTTGTATTTACCAAAGACTAGCACACCATATATCATTTGAAGGTATAAACAATAACTCTGGTAACATTCTGAAACCAAATGAATTATACCCAAAACTCCATCAAATGTCTCTTCCTCTCTTAAGCTGGGCTGTTCAGCTGTAGTTATTGCCACCTTGGGTAGTTATATACGAGGGCTATCCAGAAAGTAGATTACGTTTTGGAATAAAAAAATAAACAAAGTATAGGAAACAAATTTTATTATATACAGATGAAAGCCACACTCAAATACTACTTTTCTACATAGTCACCATACAAATTAAGGCATTTATCGTAGCGATGTACGAGCTTGGAAATTCCTTCGTCGAAAAATTCGGCCGCCTGCGCCTTGCCGACATTGTTTGCATGCATTTCTTGGGTTTTGGGAGAACTTGTGTGCCCCACTGCATTGATTGCAATTTCGTTTCACAGTTCACATGTTTCACCCATGTTTCGTCACCAGTAACGATGCGATCGAGTAAAGAGTCACCATCCTTATGGTAAGCGTCCAAAAAGTTCAACGCTGCAGCCATTCGCTGATTTTTGTGGTCCTCTGTCAAGATTTTTGGAATCCATCTTGCACAAAACTTGTGGTAACCAAGCTTTTCGCTGATGATTTCGTGCAACAAACTTCGCGAAATTTGTGGAAAACTCAAAGAAAGTTCCGTTATTGTGAAATTTCGATTTTCACGGACTTTAGCATCGACTTTTTCGAGAAGTTCGGCGGTCACTATGCTGGGTCTCCCACTTCGATCTTCGTCGTGAACATTGGTTCGGCCATTTTGAAATCTTATGACCCACTGACGCACTCCACCTTCAGTGATAATGTTGTCCCCATACACTTCACGAAGCTGCCGATAGATTTCTATCGGTTTACAGTTTTTTGCAGTCAGAAACCTTATTACTGAGCGCACCTCGCAGCTCGCGGGATTTTCAATTAACGCAGACATTTCAAACCGTCACAGTATCTGAACGGAGCACAGCACGAACCTCTCACTAGCACGGCTAGATGCAGACTGAGCTGCGCAACGCTCTGACCCCAAGATGGCCGCGCTAGCCCCGCCCCTAGCGGACACAGACGGAAACGTAATCTACTTCCTGGATGGCCCTCGTAAGATACCAATATCTTTACATTCAACAAACTGAATCAAACAGTATTGAAATAATTTCAGTTGGTACCATTAGTTATCTTTATGCAGGGCCATTCCTAGCGAGGGTGCAGCATGTAAAAGTATGCGGGGTGCAAAAATCAGGGGCGGCCGGACTCTCGCGATACTACGACTAAATAGTTTAAATTCATTAGAAGTACTCGTCATATGTAAGTACTCATTATACAATTTTCCATACATAAGTACTTAGAGAATATGAAATAAATATTTTATTAATCATAGAATATTTTTTAAATTTTGCGGATGGAAGTCCTAGAAACGTACGCGGGGAGCCAATGGTTTAGGAATGGCCTTGTCCTTATGATGGCTTAAACAACTCTTGTCTTTCATTATGTTACAAATGAACAATGTAAGATTATTCACTGAAATAATATTACAAAAGCCACATACAGTCCTTTTAAAATAATAGCTTTTATGTGAAAAGTAATATACTTACAGACACTTATCAAAAAGATATCTTGATAAATGTCAAACAAAGAATTATTTGAAAAATATAAAAACAAAAATACCTTCAGTGACATTTAAGAAATTGCTTCTTAAATGAATTTTATAATTTAAAATAACAACGTACATTTGATATCAATACTCATGTATACTTTAATGTATGTATACTTCTAAGTTTCAAAATCTGTTAACTTTTACAAGGATTCTTAGATTTTTCATGGTTTGAGAGAGATATAATTATTGAACAACTTAAAGAAATTTAACAGAAAAAATTCCATGGTCGGAATCTATTTTATCCAACATCCTAAGATATTAGCAATAAACTTTCACTGAATTCCAGTCTTACTTACATCTAGCACTTTTTATTACAAATATTTTTTTTTATAATAATGAATAAATAAATACAAACTAGCTTAAAGAAATTAAATACTAACTGAAAGATTGAATTGTTCAAAAGACTGGATTGGATTATTAATCACCACCTTAAAGAAGATGACTTCATAGAAAGTTTTCATTGTAAAAATTGGGACCATAATAAAGATGTAAATGATATTTTCATTAAAAACCATTGCCCACACACACCTCATTTTTTTACTTTATACAACCATTCAATTTAACATCTAAAATTGTCATATAACAAAATATAAAATCACCATTAAAATAATTTTAAAAATTCATGAGTTTTATCAGAGAATTTAACAAATTCATACTCACATAAAAAAGAACACTACTCACATAACAAAAGAAATTCAATTGCCTAGCAGTAAAAAAAAATTTTATTATGACTGCCAAATCTTATAAGCATTTAAAAATAGCATTTCTTACAATGTAACTAAAATAACAATTAATAAGTTACACATTCCTTTTAAATTATCCTCCAGCCTGCTTTATCAAATTTAGGAGGCTTATCATATCCTGCTCCATATTTCTTATAAGCCAAAGCACGGAATCTCAATGTATGTAATTTATATATTTTATCTCCTTCATTAACAAATTTCTTTTGCTTAATTTTAGCTGCTTTCAGTCTTAAACTTCGTATTCGCTGTAAAAAGAAGAAACGTTCCCAATACTCTTTAGTATTTGGATCCATTTCTTCCAAAGGAGGAGGAGGACCAAGTCTTAATGTCCAAAGCCATTCAGGATATTCATCATCACTCTTAAGTTTTACATCTTCCCCTTCTTTGTAAATGTTACTCCCACAGCAATAATTCACCAGTTTATGAGGATCTGTTTCTACAGGTAGTGGTTTCTTCTTTTCAAAGGCACCACCTAAAAGCTTAGCTTTTCCAGTAATAGCTCCTACACAGAAAAAACGGTATATTATATTCTCTGCAGGTTAATCAAAAAATTCAAATTCAGATTGTACATAAATTTAATGCCAGAATAAGAGAAAACAAATATACTGACTACTGATTAATTAAATAAATTTTAATTTTATAATCCCAAATCAATTCAGTATTCAAAAGGCCCTTGAATACTATATGCAACTTTAATACCGATCACCGCTTCCGACCTAAGGTTATACCTATCAGAATAATGCCCAATCAACCAAATATCTTAGCCAATTTTTGTCATACAAAAGTCACACTTCTTGTATTTTATTTTTTATAAAGAGCAAAAAATTTACCTAAATGTAAGTACAAGGTCCAAGAGAACTTTTTAAATCAGCCTCCAGTCCATACAGTTAAATTACAAAAAAAAAAAAAAAAAAAAAAAAGAGTAGAGCAAATTTTATTATGACTGATAAATCTTAAAAGCATTTAAAAATAAAATTTCTTACAATGTAACTAAAATAACAATTAATACGTTACACATTTCTTTTAAATTATCCTCCAGCCTGCTTTATCAAATTTAGGAGGCTTATCCCACTCTGAGGTAAAGAAGAGGAAAGTAGAAACACATTGAGGAAGAACAAGGAGACAATCTCCTAAGACTAACAAGAATTAATCGTATGCAAATTTGCACTGAGAAGAAGCAGTATTTTGCTCTTAGCTGGTACCAGTGAAAGCCAATCAGAGCAAATGGTGCCTTTGAAAATGGCACAACATCATCGTTTCAAGTATTACCTTGATAACATCGTCTGAAACTTTTTGTGAACACTACAGTGGAGTACATATGCGAGGAATTAGCAGATATTCACCTAACATAAGGTGAAGCAAAAAGGAATGGACATGAAGCACAAAGATTGTACGAATAGCGGCTGCCAACTCGTTGGATTCCAAGTCATCCAACCTTTTCCAGTGTTGATTGAAGACTGGGAGAAACTGGTTCTTTTGCCATCTCAAAAAGTAATGCAGGACATCTGCAAAATGCACTAACGCCAGAATTGGAAGAGGGAGTTTTGACTAGATTTGAAGAAATCTTTGGAACTCAGATGATTACCCCTGCCAAGCAGACTTTTGGAATGAGGAATAATGGTCCCCGATTTCCTGCATTAATATTATTTAGGGATGAGACAACATTCAACGTGTACAATCAATACGTTTGGTCTAACAGCAATTCCCACTGCACTACCCCTCATACACAACAGCAGAAGTTTTCCATGAATGTCTCAACAGACATTCACAGAAAATTTCTGCTGGCAGGTATCCTAGGTGATCACCTGGTAGGCATTTACATCATGCCCAGACCGTTTGATTGGCACAAAGTACTGTATCTTCTTGGAACAAGTGCTTCCCATTTTATTGTAAGATGTTTCGCTCCCCATCCAGAGAGACATGTAGTTTATACACAATGGAGTCCTAGCACATTTTTCTATCAAGGTCTGTAACTTTTTGAATGCCACATATCCTGCACGATGGATCGGATGTGGCAGACCTGTGGGTTGGCCTCCTCGCTCACCGGACCTCAACCCACAGGACTTTTCCTTCTGGGTGCACAAGAAATCTTTAGTGTACGAAACGCCTGCAGAGTCAGCTGAAGGTCTCGTGGTGAGAATTGTTGTTGCCGTGAACAAAATTAGCACGAAAACACGAATCTCTGAAATGGTGCACCAGTCGTTCCTTCGCCGATGTCAACTGCGCAACGACATGCATGATCGACATTTTGAGCACTTTCTGTGAGTTTTTAACTTAGCAATAAATCTGATTGCACAACTTTTTGTCTCATTCATTTGCTTTCCCGACACTGTTGTAAGCTCAGGCTGGAATTCTATTATTCCTTTTTTCTGCCTCTGAGAGTGGAATACGACCCTATGTTCTATGGTTATTACTGCTCATCTGGATGCGTACTATCAACCCTTCTTCCCATTTGTAAATACTATTTAGAATCACCTTGTATATTTTATCACCTTCATTAACAAATTTCTTTTTTTTAATTTTAGCTGCTTTCAATCCTAAACTCCATATAAAACATAATAACAAATTGCATCAGGAAAAGATGAAAATTGGATAAAATTATTTGAATTCAAGGTTTGGGATATTTTTAGATTTTTCACTGCCACAAAGACATGCTTTCCTGTTTTTCTGATGGGTCAGTCAAAAACAATTTCAGTAAAAAAGAAATTTAAATAACTCAACGGTGATATACTTTTCCCTTTTCTATTTATTCGGAAATATTCCTTGTAATTCATTAGTTGAGGTATTCTTTAATATACAACTCTGTCACATTTGCCAAAAGCATTTTCATGAAACTAATTTCTAAATTTTGAAATGCGAAAATTTAGCTAATAATATTCCTCAGTACCTAATAGTGACAAAAAAATTCATCGGACTAGAAACAGCAGCAAATAATGTTACCAGTATGTCATGTGCCAATACTGAACTGTCCACTTTTATAACTATTAGAACACAAGTTCTTTAAGATTATGTGAATAAAATCTTTTTGAAGCAAATTCTCTAACAATCTGCATAACAATGCACGTTAACACCAGAAACTCTCCAAAAAATATTGATCGATTTTTTTAAAATTACAAACAAATTTAAATATTTTGTGTATGATACCTGAATTTTCAGGAAATATGATCAGAATGTTTAAATATTTGGGTAAATTTTTTGCAATATGGGAGTGAAACTTTTACTTAACATAAGTACGTGGACCAGAGAACCATCTAAAAAGTTAGATTTTCTAACTTTATATATACATATATATTATAATTTTTTATAAAATCTAGGCTGAGATTAGATTTTATTATTTATAGAAATCTCTATGAACAGTTTTTTGTTTTCTTGGTATTAAAAACTTTAGTTTAGTATAATTGGGGCTAGCCATTCAAGTGTTGTCTAAATGACAATTTGATTTAAAGTATATTTGTTTTGCTCTTTATTTGTAATTGCTTTCAAATTTCGAATTCACATATAATGGTTTTGACCAATTTTTTTTTCTTGGGGGGGGATGGTCAATTTGCATAATGCAAAGTTTTATGTTTTCCTTGAGTAGTCAATTTAGTACAATGCTATATTTTTTTAATTTTTTCAAGTGTTTCGAAAAACTGTCAGGGAAAAATTTTAGTACATTTGAGATGTGATTTTCCGGTCTTATATGAATTTTAATGTCTTAAATGAAAATTTAATTTACTTTTTTTCGTTTTTTTTTTTTATCTCAAATGAACCAGGAAAACGAAAGAAGTTTTTGAAACATATTAATGGACTTTTATGAAGCTTTAATTCATTTTACCCTGATGAGTTCTGAATTAGAGTTTCAGTAAAAGGAAATTAATTTTTATATTTTTCCTTTAGCATTTTTATTTTTTAAATTTGTTCTACTATGAATTCACATTTTAATTTTCATTTGTTTAGATACTGTGTTAAACCTCTTATACACAGTTGCAATTATTCATACTGCAGAGGAATTACCTTGTTTTGATTCCTATTTAATATTAACTTTAGATGCTTTAAGTTTATATATACAGTCAAAAGTCGTTAATCCAGACACGTCGGGACTTCGGCGATTCCGGATTATCGATTTTTCCAGATTATAGATTATCAGTTTAAATCTGGTAAGATGACATGCAGAAATTACAAAATTAAAAATTATGAAACCATAATTTATGAAATAAAAAACAATTATGATCTAAAGGGTATCAAAATTTACAAAAAAAAAGCTTTAATTTATTTGTTTACTTTATTAAACATTTCTTTCAATGTAAGTTGTTTTAGTTGCTTCGTTTCATGTGATAATATTTTCTCTTTAATTCTATTAAAACAGACATAATTTCTTGTTCAGTTACAAAGTTCCGCTGTTCAAGTCCTATAATTGCTGTGTCGAGAATACCGACTAATTTGTCAATCGACATTTTTTCATTTTCAATAACCTCTGTGTCACTTTCTTCACTATCTGAAGCGAATTATATTGATGAGGAACTTGATTTAAATCATATCAAAGATGGAGTACATCAAGATGAAATACTACATTTAGTAAGGAATTATAAGCGAAATAAAATAAAAACATCTGCCCTGAAGATAAGAATAGTGCTGACAGATCAACTTCCAATTCATTGCGCACAGCGCCGCCCCCCCCCTGCAGAGCAGCGTGAAATTGATAAACATATTTCGGAATGATTAGATAATCAAAGGATATGATCCATTTTTTGCAGCAAATTCCACTTTCTGTTTAATGGGCTTCAAAACATACTTTCGCTTTGTAGATCCTTTACATATTAGTAAATATATATCAGAAATTCTACTTGACATAATCGAAAGTTCAAGCTTACTTTTATAAAATTGCTCCAACAGTCTGCAAAAAATAATAAGCCGGATCCAATTCGAAGATTACGGAACAACGCAATCTGCAACATTAACTGAATTAGATAATTTTAGCTTAGCTTATACCATCCGTTATACATTAAATGTGCATGCGTAAATGTATTATGTGCATGCGCACACACATATTCGCAGCTGTAAAGGTCTTACACGCACGCGTCAACGCTACGAATGCGCAGAAAGTTTGTAGCTTCGAGGTCCGGATTATAGATCATTCCGGATTACGGGTGTCCGAATTAATGACTTTTGACTGTATATCATTTTGATTTGATGAAATGAAAGATGGATGTAAGTGCTAGAGATCTTTCTCCAAGAGACATTCATTAAATTTTGAAATAAGTCCTTGGTTTCACATAGCAAACTGAAGAAATACAGTAGACTTCCTATTAACCAGGATAATGTTCACATTTAACATAAATCACAGGGAAAAAAAGGTCTGCCAACAGTTTAAAAAAACACAGCAAAGAGAACAGCCTATATTATAATTAACAGAAAAAATACTGTTAACAATTTACCTGTATTTTTAAGAACCTTAATTTGGAGAATAAGTTCACTTGATTGTATATATTTAATCAGCATTTGAAACAAAAAGAATAAACT